CCACCACTACTACTACCACTACCACAGCTTCTACCACTATGCGAACGACTACCACTACGACGACGATGACGTACTACGACCCTTACCACTACCAGTTCCAAGAACCTACCACTCTACTTCTGCTGTTGCGACTGCGGTTGCGGCTGTGGCTGCGGCTGCGACTGCTGCTGCTGTTGCTGCTGCTAACCCTACTCCTCGTATAGTAGTGCTGGTAGCGCCAGTAGCAGCAGCACTAGCAGCAAGCAGAATCACTAAATGCTGGCAGGACGGCAAGACTTGTGATCACTATAACAATCGTGACTATGATGATGGTGATGATTGGTAACTCTGGCACCTGGCATCCTGATTTCGGCGGGGGCTGGCGTGCCTCTTCTTCCAGCTGGGGGGTGCTTACCTCAGCTATTTTCCACAAGGACACTTTAATTCCAAGCTCAATGCAGATCCTCGAATCAAAATTGGGCGGTGAAATGCGTATCAATACGTATGCAGGATGCTCGTAAGGCCGGATAGACTGCACTAGAGGCGAAGTTTTCTTAGCCACTTACCAAGTCTCAATGACCCCCTTAGTCAGCTCAAGCACCCAAGCCGACTCTTGGCCTCCTGCCGCCTCCTTCAGCTCCTCTTGGCTTTGCTACACATACGGCCAGGAGTCAGGAGTCTACGGTGCCCATCTGAGACTGTAGTTGGCGCTCAAGGGACCATGTGCCACATGCACACATGTATCATATCGCAGAAGACACTACACGTGAGCATGGCTCCTTTGAAGGTGTCGGTGAAACTGCTACTTGCCGCCGGATTAGACCTAAGACAGGCATGTCAGACTTTCGAACATCGAACCGAGCAGGGCCCGTCGTCCACAAGCACAGCAGAATCCTGGGCTTTGCGCGAGCACACGTAGCACCGCCCTGCTCATGGAAATGCCGCTGATCTATTCAAGACGCTTGGAGAAGTCTGACAGGTGCGGACATGCAGGCGTCCGCGAATGCTCGTGACATGCGCATGCTATCTCTCTTATGTACATACCGATGTTTTGAAGATTGACTCACTATCGATCACGTGCCTGAACAACCACTGCGAGGGCGAGTAGAAACTTCAGCACGAGGAGGAGGATTCGCAACCTTGATATATCAGGCGATGCACAAACATGCACCTCACTCCGCTTACGCACATGTAAAGGACACGGGGGAATACAAGTCGAAGCCCAAAATAGGCAGCGGACTCGTGCAAGCTCATAGGAAGCTTTTCGTCTGCACGGGAGCAGATGCTGCAAAACACAAGCAATAGCAGCAGAGTTGTGTGGCACAGTTAAGCTCGCTAAGCTCGCACAAAGACAGAGAGAGCGAGAGAGAGACTTCAGGTGCCGAGCTAACCTTGCTCTAGCCGCCCGGCCTGCCGTTTGTTTACTCACGGCGTTTGCCTTCAGAACGAAACCCGTACCTGGCGTACCTTCGGAGAGACTCAGAGAGGTCAGGACTTGACTTCAGGACTTCAGGCCTCGGGATTCCAAGTCCCTGTGGACGAACCCCGGCCCCTCACCTGCGAAGCAAAGGAACGAGGATTTTGGATTTGAGGCCAGGCCGCCAGGCCGCCCAGGCCGCCCAGGCCCCCCGTTTTTGCAGGTTTGTGGCGCCTGCTCTCTCTGTCTGGACCTCAGCTGCCAGGCTCTTGGGAGCTGCAAGGGAATGTGGTATCCTACGCTGTGGTACGCTGGCAGTGTGAGCGTGTCTCAATGTGCCTCGCGGAGTCTATAAATCTAGGTCCAGGTTGTGTTCTCAACAGCCAGATTGAGGCTACACAGGAGACTCCGCCACCCGCAGGGCCTGACCGCCCTATGATGCAGCTGGTCTGGAAGATTCGCCAAGCTTTGAGTTCTCGAAAGTACATGACATTGGGCGCTGCACCTCTTCCACCCACTCATCGACCTGCAAGGAATATGGCCCACCTTGGCCCACCCTTCGCACTTCGCCCCCACGCCTGAAGGAAGGAGAGGGGAAGGCCGGACGTCTCTGCGGCCTGTTCAGCGGAGCAGGGAAGCCGAACCCCCATCCGAGCACTTCCTGCGTGGCCGGGTCTTCTGCTTCTGCATCTGCGTGGGGAGGTTTTCCTGCACCAGAGCTCAAGAGCAGCGGACTTGGATCACGTTCAGCAGACGACAAGAGGCCTTGCAAAATGCTGCTCAGCACATTGGTGTCCGTGCGAAGCCTACGAGGATTCGGGATTCGAGGTTGCGCTGTGGAGAAGACTGCAGGCCACGGCTACGGATAAAGCATGTGTCATGCCAACGTCTCTGCATCTGAGGTGTCTGCCCAGTTTGAAGAAAGGACATGTCACACCTGATGCCGACCAAAGCACTGGCATCTACATAGAATTGGCAGTTGCGTGCTGCGTCTTGGATGACGAAGGCTGCTTTGTCAAGTTGACAACCTTCTGATCCATGGGACCGGACCAGTCTTTGCATAGTCCACACATAGAACCCAAATTTGCTACACAACTTCAAGGCTGTAGAAGGCTCTTGGGACCGCACAGTGCTTCGACCTCAGCTCTGTCATGCGCTGCCCCGTCAAGACACGACCCGTGTGCCCTTCGAGTGCTTCACACCACCATCATTCTCGGAGACTTCTGCCTGACAGAGAACCGGTGACCCATGAGATGCTGTCACGGCCCCAAAGCTCTGTGAACCCTTAGAGCGTGGCAGTGCTCCAGAAGTCCAAGGAATCCTTAGGCCTCAGTCTTGCAGCAGTTTCGGCAGAAGCCACTTGGGGAGGCCGAATAACTTGGGTCGCAACTGCGAAATCGATGAGGCCTGGGCCTGAGCTTCGACGCAATTGAACCGACTGACAGCGACGAAGACTGACATGACAAGAAAGCTCCTTGGGCGCTTTGCAAGTGACGTCAGAAGCAGGGACAAGGAGGCCTCGTCTCATGGCCGACAGGCTCAAATGCTGATGTAGTGATCTCGCCACGGTGCCCGAGTGAGACGCCTTGCACAAGGGCTTACCAAAGTACATCGTGGGTTTCCTTGGCAAGCCAGGTGGTTGATTCGAGACCTTGCTCTGTTCCGCCAGACAAAATCTAAAGTCGAAGCACTGAATTCAAGCGTTTTCGTCTCACAAGACCTCTGCAAACCGATTGAGCGCGCTGCCATTGAGGGTGGTTCGGTCATTGTAGACATGGACTTGAACCGACGGTAGCGGTGAAAATCCATTATGACTTGCAATCAAGCTCATTAGACTCTATTGGACTCTACATCGGACCGTCAATAAGTTGTAGTGGGCCTTGATCTAGTTCAGTTCTGCACTGCATCTGGCATGGGATTGGGATATATTGGGATACTGTTTAGCACGAGGGTTCAAATGTGCGTGCCCACGCTGTTGGCGAGCTCGATGAAACGAGATTCCAAACGGGAGTGTGCTGTGTACAAGGAAGTGAAATGGTCACGCCTGCTAAAGTCGAGGCGCTTCCTGCCTACTTAAGTCTTAGTCAACAGCTCCATAGCCTGGAGCTCACGAGAAGCCTCTAGGCAAAGGCAGAGGCTTCACCGGTCCTGAGAGCGTGGGAAGACAAGACTCTCGGTGGCACATACCCGCACAGGACAACATAAACGAAAACAACAAGAACGAACAGCAGAAAGTCGCACCTCACCTGAGCCGCACCCTGCTCGCTTCACTGAGCCACGCTCACACAAGCGGCAAACTTAGAGTATTCGCTGACTCTGAGAGTCAGAGAGATTCACTACAGCGCAGAGCCACAGCACATTGACATTGCTCTGCACGCCTTGGGCACAGGCATGCCAGCATCTCGCAGCAATGCTATGGAGGCTTCCCGGTTCAACCTGGCGTCACACAGCATGCGAGAGGAATGCCTTTGTTTTGGTTTCGTCATGCGTGGTGCTGCCTGCTAAGGCAAAAAACGATCAAACCAGGCACAAGCCCACACACGAGGACTAACAGCAGCAGTGGCCGTAATCAGCGGCAGCAGATGTCGTAGTCATGTTTTGCAGCATGGAATTCGAAATGAGCAGTGCTATCTAAGTTCACTCGTGCGAAATGGACCATCTTCCATGCTTCGTGCACGATCCCAAGCATCGTCACCCTTGCTCCTCAAGCACTGCCTTAGCCGCCTGAGGCCCGGGCCGGGTTGCCCATTTCAGAGCAGTGAAGCCTCAAGGTGAGGCTGGCAGAATACTCAATGACTCTGTAGGCTTTGAATGCACCCACTGGCAACCTTTAGTTTAGGTGTCGTGGGCGGCTCGGGCTTTCGCATTTGCTCGGCATGCCAGATTGTGGCTTTCTGGAAGCGTCCCGGCGGAGACAGCAAGGGCTTCGACGAATCTGCCATCCCAAGACTTAAGCTTTCCGCCATCATCGGTGACGGCCGCAGCATCGGCACGTGCCTGGACAAGCGCAACGAGAGCCGGTATGCCATGATGCTAGAAGCATAATCGACGGAACCTCCAGGAGTAGCGAGACAATGCCACTGAAGTCACCTCTGCAGTCGGAGTGTCAGTCGGCCACGTGACGCCTCTTGCAATCTCTAGCATCGCCACCTCCCACCACGCAGCCCATCAGGGGCGTCATGTTGTTCTGGTCTCTGGCATTCACATCAGCCTTGGACCGAATACGTATCTCACAGCTTGGTTCAGTCTTGAAGTTTCTGTTCTTTGGATTCCGTGCTACCACAACACCATCTGAATCTTCCTTGTCACAGCTACCGGTGCCCTTTGCAGCATCTTGCAGATGGAGCTTATTTAGTCGATGGCCTTCCCAAACCAAGTGCTCCGTTGAAAGATCCACCCAAAAAGCTTGGGCCTGGACCTGCTTCGCAAGCAGGAGCCGGCAAACACTCTCAGCTCCCTCTTCTGCCGAGGCACCTTTGAGAATCTCGTTGAGGATCATAAGTCTTGACTGGGGGCCGGGGGGTTTTGGGCACGAATTGAAGCAGAGCGGTGAGCTTCGATGTGCCCTCCTCCGAAGCTTTGAGGCGAGCGCGCAGCAAGCTGTAGTTCCAGTCGGCAGTCCGCCTTTCAGACAAGCAATCCGTCCGAACTGCCCCTAGTCTTGGGAAAGGTGCTTGAGGTAATCATTCTCAATCTTGCTCCAAGGAGAGTGAAACTCCTGGACGGCCTGGCCGCCTAGAGGATGCGCCAAGGCCCCAGCGCATTGACATCACACTCCTCTGGCCTGACCGAGGTCAGGATGAGTGCTGATATGCACCAGAACGGCCACAAGCTAGGTCTAGGTAGGAATCTGCAGTTCCGTGTGAACACAGTTTTCCCTGGGTCCTCTCGTTGAGGAGCTGCTCTGCTTCGGCCCAATTTTCTGCCTGGCCGCGTGTCTGCACCGACAAAACCCGGGAGAGTGGGGGAATCGAGTCATGCCTCCACGGCTTTGACCAGCGTGCTGGAGGCTGCTGCTCCTGTGCGCACAGGACTTCAGAGCAGCCCGGCAGCAGCGGCAGCCTCTCCCCGCGCGAGCTTTTGGCCTTCTCCAGCTGCCGGCTCTACACTGACGGCGGGCTCCGGTGCCACCTGCGATCTGTCCTAATCATCTCCGTGGACCAGGGAATCCGAAACAGTGCCGTCGAAGAAGAAACTGGCCTGTACCACCTCTTGTGGTTCCGGGGCTTGCGAAGCGGTGTTCGTCTGAACTCCGGTCTCCTGGCATCTATGTCTCCCGCACAGCCTCTCGCACACAGCAGAAAAACCATTAGTGGTCGTAGTCGTGGTCATGGCCGTGGCAGCAGCATTGGTAGCGGTGGTGGTGGTGGTGGTGGTGGTGGTGGTGGTGGTGGTGGTGGTGGTACGTGGTAGTGAATAGTGGCAGTGGCAGCAGCAGGGGCAGGGGGCAGGGAGGGCCACCGGCAGCGGCAGCAGTAGCTGCAGCCGTAGCAGCGGCAGCCGTGGCAGCAGCAGCAGTAGCAGCAGCAGCAGCAGCTGTAGCAGAAGCAATGGTAGCAGAAGCAGCAGTAGTAGCAGCAGTTTCGTGGTGACGTCAAATGAGGCGTCCAAGTTCTTGCCGTGCTCCTCGTGACTACGTCCCGCATGGGTTCGTGCTGCTGCTGATTGCTTCTTGTCATGCTCCTGCTGCTACAGCCACAACGCCACCACTGTCCCTATCACGGTAGCTGTCGCTATCGGCTATTCATCTTCAGCAAAAGCGGCAAAGAGTACTACTAGCATCCCAACTCCACCAACTCAGTGAACCTTCTCTGCTTCGGCTGGCTTGTCGGCGACCGGCTCATCGGGCTGCAAGGACAAGACCATGGTTTAGCCAACGCGACATGTCGATTCCGAGGCTTCTCGGGCCTGTTGATGTATCCCGGATTCTGCCTGGCCGCGAGCCAACTCCTGCAAAGAGGGCGGCTAGCAGAGGCCTCTCAGACCTTCATGACTGTGACTACACTGTCAGTGCTAGGCGCCATGTAGGCAGCAGATGCCCGAGGTCCTGAGCAGCCGGCTTGGGCTCACGCCGCACAGACGCCCCCATTCCCATGGCATCAAAGGGCCGGATGAAAAAGTCTACGGATCTACCTTCGCCGGTCAGAGGTGTAAAGCTCAGGTTCAAGTGCTAAAGCTTCGTGAAAGGACGTGATCTTGATCCAGCGCAGTCCGAATGTTCCAGCAGTGCCGTGGCGCATAAATCCAAACCTCAAGTGGCACCCTGAACCCCTCTTTTTCTTGGCAGGTGGGGTCATCCTGCACTTTAAACGAATTCAGACGCTCTGGCTCTCCGGCACCGACAGGCTACAACTGAAACCGAGCTACTGATGCTCTGAAGGGTTTACAATTTCGGATCAGGGGGTGTGATTTTGGAAACTCCTGTACAGGTGCCCTCGGAAATCCACGGCTGATTTAATGTGCAGTTGTACAGCTGAAGACGAGAGAGCTTGAAGACAACAGCGCTCCAGGACTCACAGTTAGTGGCTCCTTCGATTGCGGGTTCTACTTGATACCGTATGTCTACACAGATGCATCGACGGAGAGGTATGCTTGTAGATGGATGGACAGATACATGGATCGACAGATAGATTCAGGTAGATAGATAGGTGCATAGATAGGTGCATAGATAGTTGCATAGATAGGTAGATAGGTAGATAGGTAGATAGGTAGATAGGTAATTAGATAGATAGATAGATAGATAGATAGATAGATAGACCAATAGATAGATTGAGAGACAGATAGACAAATGGATACATAGCTAGCCAACAAGGTAGGTAGCTAACTACATAGGTAGGTAGGTAGGTAGGTAGGTAGGTAGGTGGGTAGGTAGGTAGGAGGGGCAGGCAGGCAGGCAGGTAGGTAGGTAGGTAGGTAGGCAGGTAGCTAGCTAGCTAGATAGATAGATAGGTAGGTGGGTAGATAGGTAGAGAGGTAGATAGGTAGATAGATAGATAGACAAACAGATAGACTGTTAGGCAGTTAGACAGATGGATAGATAGATAGATAGGCAGGAGGGCAGTAAGGTAGATAAACAGATAGACAGGCAGACAGACAGAGACCATGGAAAAAGTAGCATCGCATGGGATGGGAAGGGATGGAATAGTACAGGTAGGTAGGTAGAAGCGTGGATAGGTGAATGGAGGTACAGATAGACAGACAGATGGATAGGCAGCTAAATAGATAGACCGACAGATATGTGGATCGCCAACAAGCAAGCAAGCTAGACAGACATGCAGACAGATAGATAGCTAGCTGGATGGATCGAGGGATGGATGGATGGATGTATGGATGGACGGGTAGATGGGTAGATGGCAGGCAGGTAAGTTGTATTGCGAGTACCAGCGATGTTGGCACTGGCCATTCGAGTCTGTTTTTGTAACTCACACTATCTTGAAAACTTGGCGTTGCCGTTCTCGCTATGATTGCTGGCATCGCTGCAACGACTACCCTGATTGCTATGATCACCGTATGCCCAATGGTCAATGTCTGAGTAGAAACTTAGTTCGCATCTGATTGTACCTCATTGTAGCAGCCTTCGCTGAGGTTGCAGTGGTATCTTGTTCTCACGCCTTGCGATATGGGTACGACTAGTACGGCTATGACAATTTGCAGCAATCGCTGCATGAGACATCAGCACTATGTTGACGAGTTTACTTCAAATGTTCTTGCTTTTGTACCTTACAGCTCACGACTAGTACTACCACTTTCGAAAACTGCCGAGGAGAACGACGTGGCTTGGCACGGTAACAGCAAGCTATCCAACAACTTCTTCCGAAAGAGCACACCATCATGCTGAAGCCACTTCGATGTTAACATCATGAGCTACTTAGCTCTAATCCATGTGTGTCGGTTTCCTGCTGCCACAGCGAGCAGCTGTGTCTTCCAGCTGACATCCTCTTCAGCACATGAATGTATCACATGGCACGCGCCAGCATCAGACGTTGCCGACAGCAACATCTGGAGTCTGGAGACGCGTGGAGCAGCGCCCCAAGCAGCGATCAGCAGGGCGAAATCCTTGAAGCGAAGACGAGTTAGCAGATGGGTTGGTTGTGCTTCAATTCGAGAAGTGGACATACACCAAGCTCAACATAATCGACGATGGTTCGGGACTGTTTTGAACTGCCGAGACCCCAGCAAAGGCCTTGACTGCCGCCGGACGGCGCCTGTACATTTGTCGATTCTCAGTCCTGCGGGGTCGTGGGTGCAGACATGCCCGATAGCCATCTGTGCCATACAGCCTCATCCTCCAAGTAGACCTGGCCGGGTCGCTTGGCCACGAAGAACCTGAGCAGCATCGACTCTGGCATGTAGCCCAACTGCAGCTAGACTGTTGAGCGGTGTTTTTTATTCTGTTTCAATCCTAAGGACGCAAAAACCCCTTCCGCAAGACCCTTCCGCCACTGCTTCCGCAGCCTTCCGCGCCTCGAAGCGTTGGCACGTTTCTGAGTCACTTTACGTCGTCTCTTCCGCGTGCCCTTCCCCTTCCGCAAGAGCATAAACCCCACTTGACGTATTAAGTTAACTCCTTTCAGCGAATGCGGGCACCATAGTTTATCTTGCAAAAATTCCTGGGCATGCCTCGGGATTCCTGGAAACAGACATCAGCTGGTTCAATCACTATTGTACTGTATGTTTCGGTCGAGACACGTCTTCTTTGGGTGCGGTGACTTACGTATTTGGTGCTTGCGCCCTTCCTCGGAGCAATGCCTTCCGCAGCCCTTCCGCGTCCTTCCGCGCGCACAGTCCCAGCAAGATTTCGAGATCAAGTGAAAGTTTTGTGTCCAACTTTCATCTTACGGAAGAGCGGACAAAAAAAACGCAGCTCTGTTGGCGAAACTGAAATATACCCTCGGACCCTAAACCTCAAGCAGAAAGCCCTAAACCCAACAGAATCCCAAGCTATGTCCTCTTCCTGAGAGCCTGACGCAAGGCTGTCCGAGTCAAACCTCGGTGCCCAGGCATTCTGGGAACAGCTTGCCCGGGCTGTCAAGGTTTATAATTGAAAAGCAGCTTCACCGGTAGCAGCAGAGCTGGGAGCTGCCTGTGACAACATGACACCTCCACCACTACGGTCCAATACTCCTGTCATGGAAGCAACAAGTCCGGTAAGGGCCTTCCGATGTCATTGATCTTTCAGAAGCAGAACTTGTCCCCGCTTCTCTCTGGATCTACACATCTACAGCGGCTGCTACTGTTCTCGCCTTGATTTGAAGTACACTGGGGTCAGCAAGCCTGCAGTTGGGGCAGCAGGTCTGAGCCCTGGGCCACTCAGTGCCGAATTCCCCGGTGACCTGCGCCCAGCCAGCATCATGTTAAGATGTGCATAGGGTTTGTTTTCTGAGGTAGGCCGAACACCTCAATGTTAATAAGGCCGGTGTAGGGGCGCAGGGTCAACACTTGGCAGCACTCTACCAGCCCCGTGGTCCACACCCCGAGCCCCCACCTCCCATAGATCTTTGTCCATGTCGTACTGGCCAAGGATTCCTGTCCTGAGCGTCGCGGATGCTTCAGTGAAGCAAACCTACGACCATACGTGACTGCACACTAGGATTGTAGACTCCTGATTCATTCACCGTCCTCCTGAATGAGGATGAGAATGAGGATTCCGAGATTAGGCGCTTGCAGAAGGGGGTTGTACACGAGTACGTGCGTATGTGCGCACTTGCGAGTTGCTTGATCGTGCGTGTATACAGATAGATAGAGAGATAGATAGATAGATAGATAGATAGATAGATAGATAGACAGATAGACAGATAGACAGATAGACAGATAGACAGATAGACAGATAGACAGATAGACAGATAGCAGACAGATAGATGGACAGACGGGCTGATGCGTAAATGGTTAGGCAGACACATAGATACGTAGACAGGTAGATGGACAGATGATTGCGCATGCATAAGCATTCATAACTCTGGCCGCAGATATCGGTCACCATGTGTGCATACATATATATATATATATATGCAAGCATGTATGCACGCATGCATACTTACTTCTTACATATTTACATAGATATATACAGACACACATTGTGTTGAAGTTCAATCCACTAGTGAGGCCTATTGAATTCAATAGGGTTGTCGGATTGAAGATTGAAGATGCAGACTGCAACAATATTGCACATTTGACTACATTTACACAAGCATGACCACCCACATGATGTTTTGCGTTTGCGTCAGATACAAACGGATATTACGTAGCAATTATACAGTGTCGCCACTTGCACAGACGAATGCTGACCCAATTATCTCTGTACACAGATGCATATACACACATGTAGGCACATTCCAGATAGCACGGAATATGCCCGCGGCTTTACAGATCCACCTACGTCTGTAATGTTAGTATTGATGGGTGCCAAGTTTGCATAAATGCATCTCTATGCGTGTCGCGCGTGAGACCTGCTGATATACACGACCAGGATGTAACAGGAAGAAGCTCGCATTCGGAAAGCTGGGCTGGCTAAGATGAGACAAAACACAACACAGACAAGGAGCTGCATATATGCCTATGTACCATGGACGGCTCCCATAGTAATCTCGTGTGTCGCCTCCTCAATGTGTTTTGGGAGTCCTTGTGTTTTGACTCGGGGTGCACGCTTGCTTGAATAGTCTCTGCTGTATAATGTAGTGCCTACTACAGGTTGCGGCCAAACTGAAAAAAAAACATGCGCGTGCTGAGGCAATATTTAATGTTGGATTATTTGCCCCTCAGCCCCGGACTCGCCCCTGTTGTCGTTGTTGGACAGAATCCGAACACGAGCGCCCCTGGCGGTCGGGAGTCTGGAGATGACAGCGAGGGATCTACGGTTCAGAGTTGAGCGCTTTGGGCTGCTTACGATCATTCTTAAGCAAAGGCGCTCGTTCGATGCTTTGGACTCGGCAGCGCGGCAGGTTGTTGAAGAGTCAGATTGCAGTACGCCCTCTTGGTGCTTGAGTCTCCTCTTGCAGTCTTTAATTTAAACTCACTGGGCATCCGGCTGTTGCTGTTGGGGAGAGGACTGTGCAACAGTAAGTGACGATACGATCTTGCGCTGTGGCAGAGTACAGGTCCAATCCTTTGCTTACTCTCAGGCACAGCAAGCCCAAGATAGTGGTCACAGCGAGCTAATTCTTATTCTGTCCGTGAAAATGCTGGAAAGCTAGGTACTTGAATGCTCATGGCCCGCCACACAGCATGTACGGTGCTTCTTGGAGCAAGCCAGGCCTGACGAATCCCGGCTTTTTCCCCTGAGTCGATTGCAGGCGGTCTGCGCACACGCTGCATCGCTTAGGTTTTGTGGTCCTTCTAGCAGACAGAAGCTTGTGGTCATACTGATGGACACATACACGCTCAGCGATCCAATTAACCTAGTTTATCCCACGTGCGCCATCTGAATCCGCATGACTGTGGCTGTGAGGTCCAGAGCACTTGGCACCCGGGCAGGCGATGGGCTGTCGGGCTCCAAGGCTCGCCGAGGCGGTGGAGACTTGGGCTCCGCCTGCTGGGATCGGAAGTAGCGTACACGCAGTGCCAAGTCTGCTAAGCGTAACCGGGTGCCAAGAAATACATGGCCGGCACCCACAACAACGCACGCCCAGGAAAGCTCTGCCATCCACATCCCAATGAGCCGCCAGGAAGGGGAATGCAAGATGAGCCGTTTAGGGTGCCCCGAGATACTGTAGGCTCCGAGACGAACCCTGCAATACAGAATCAGGAGTAGCCCTGAAAGAGACCCCGTCGATTGCCTCTAAGATTGACCAAGTTAGCCCTGATGGACTGAGTATTCACTGAGTATCTATGAGTATACAGACACCACTCTAGTGATAGTGATTACGATATTCATGTTTAAGACATTATCAGTAGTGTTGCTATTGCTTTGGTTTTCCAACAGGGGAAAAGGGTTGCTTGAAGATGTGCACGATTCCGATCTGTACCGAACTTTGCCTTCCGCTTCCGCGATGCCTTTGCTTTGGCCCTTGAGGGCACCTGAGCGGATGCATAGGGCATAGGTAGGTAAGCTCTATAGATGCTCACCGTATGCACTGTCACTGGGAACTTGGCGGGCGGAGGCGCCATGGATGACGCCTGACACAAGCAGTGCGCCCATACTGCACGTCCAAAGTCTGAGATTTTAAGGGATTGTAGGATATTTAGAGGGTGTTGTTCTTCACTTGCTTCTGGAAGCCCTTGCTGTACATCATTCTTCCCGCCTTTCGCCGGCTGTGCCTTGATTCCTGCAGCAACCCAATATGCCAAGCCAAGAGAAGGTACACGCCAAAGAAGCTCAATGAACTGTGTGGGAAATCTTCCCTTTGAATTGGAGGCCTCGCGATGATTTGTCTTTCGCTTTGCCTGCCGACATGCAAAGACAACGGCAGCCGTTGCTGAAACATCAACATCATCCAGTATCCATAAACCAAGTCGACTAAAGTCTCGTTGATCAAACACCCCTTCGGAACCCTTGGCGGACACTGAGGCCCTCCTCGAGCCTGAGCCGGAACCGGCTTTGCTTCAACTAGCTCTTCGATCCTTTTTTCCTCTGCTTGCCTTGCCCTCGCAGCAGCCTCCTGTGCGACCCGTCGTGCCTCTTCGTCTGCTTGTCGCGCTGCCTCTTCGGCAGCCTTTCTTCGCGCCTGCTCTTCTGCTTGACGTGCTGCCTCTTCCGCGGCCTTTCTGAACTCTTCAGCTTGCCGTGCCGCTTCTTCAGCTTGCCGTGCCGCTTCTTCCGCAGCCTTCCTTCTTTCTACCTCTTCGGCTTGTCGCGCTGCCTCTTCCGCGGCCTTCCTGCGCGCTGCCTCTTCTGCAGCAGCCTTCTTTCGTGCCGCCTCTTCTGCGGCCTTCCTCCGCGCTTCTTCTGCGGCCTTCCTTCGCGCTGCCTCTTCTGCTGCCTTCCTCCGCGCTGACTCTTCCGCTGCCTTCCTCCGCGACTCTTCTGCAGCCTTCCTTCGCGTTGCCTCTTCTACTGCCCTCCTCCTTGCTGCCTCTTCTGCTGCCTTCTTTCTGGATGCCTCTTCCGCAGCCCTCCTTCGCTCCGCCTCTTCAGCTTGTCGCGCTGCCTCTTCCGCAGCCTTCCTTTGCTGCGTATCCTCCTCTGGCTCAATTATCTCCACCTCCTCCTCCTCCTCTATTGAAACCGGCCCCTCCTCATCATCTTTCTGTGTCTCCTGCACCACATCCTGCTCCTCTTCCTGGTCTTCTTCCTGTTCCTCCTCCTCCTCCTCTTCCTCCTCTTCCTCCTCATCCACTAGCTCCACTTTGGGCCTAGGAAAGCACTTAATGCAAGCTAGGGCCAGGGGTCAAGGGCGTTGTGAATCTCCTGCGGCTAGTGACCAGAGCAGCGAACACAAAGTGATGCAGAGCTTCCGGCTGCTCTTTCGGTTTTGCCTGAGGATCAGAGCAAGCATGGGGAGGGCGGGATGCTTCGTCAGTAGCTGCGACTGCGATTTCCGTCAAGCAGAGGCCTTTGCTTGCAAAACCTCGCCCCTTTTTGTCCTCGTTCCCATAAACACAAGACAGATTAGGCGAAAGTCGAAGACAGCTTGGAGTTGCCTTGGTATCTCTGTGCCAGGAGGAGTGCAGCGACTGATATACAAAGGATTGCAAGGGCAACTCCAGCCGTCGACATCACCAGATCCAGGGTTCACGCACCGAGGTGCTAGAGGTGGTCGAGATTCGTTAAGCGGCAGGGCTGGCGGAAAAGCCTTGGGCCTCAGCAACTCTCAACGGCAATCCTACCTCTACCACGGATACTCCGTTGGCAGCACCTCTTTTGACCCCTTGCGATCAAGCACCCAAGCAGCACTCGATCATCAAACGACGAAGCGATCCTGGGAAGGGCCAGGGCAGGTCTCCAGTCCGGTAAGGTTCCTGTTGAAACACACGGTGCAGTCTTTGCCGGTCTTCTTGCCGCACTTGGCTTTGTACTTGGCATACAACTGCAGGGTCTTGTTGAAGAAGCTGACCTCGTCCATCTGCGAGCACGTCCCATGCTTCTCCCACTCGTGCTTCCAGAAATCTTCGTTCTTCATGGAGAACTCAGGACAAGAGGACCACTTCGCATCAAGCTCACTGCGGAGCGGCGATAAGGCACTGATGTTGAACGCCGGTCCTTCACATTCGTTGCTCCACTCGGCCCACAATCCATGAATGGTCCAATTCGCCGAGCCCTCACACTTCTGCATCATCAGCTCGTAGCACTCGCCCCCTGGATAGAGGCACTTGGCGGAAGAGGCCGATTTCAACATGACAGAGAGCAGCAGGATGCAGCACAAGCTCCTGAAAGCCATGCTCGGCCACGACGTTTGGATGCAGGCGGCCCCGGGAAAGGAAGAATTGAGCCGGGCTATCCAGGCCGTGCGATATCCGCCCAACGGGTAAAGATGCCGTAGCACTGCATGCAAAGCAGGACTCCCGCCTTCTTCCATGGCAGCAGGCCGCATATCCTGGGTGGCGCAGAACAGAATTTGCCCTCCTCGTGAGCAATCAACCGAAGTTAAACCCTCGAAGTGCCAAGTACTGGTTGCCCGGTGAGGCTCCTGACTTGCGATGCCAGCATCACCTCGTTGGCCAACCTGTGGGGACATCTGCGCATGAAAGGACACTGGGCAGAGCATCTGAAAAGCCCCGCTGGCCATGGCCTCACGTTGCTGTCGTCCAAGAGACCGTAGAACCAAAGCTTCCACTGAATGGTTCTCCACTCGTAGTCCTGCGAATCCGCGACCCTCGTGCAGCTGAACAGTGCAAAGATATGACTGAGGGGATATGGAGTATGGAGCCGAGTGACCTACCAGTATCCTGCAGACGTAAAGATGCCGTTCGGCCCGGTCTACTCAAAGTGTGCACCTCAAAACCATCGAGCACCGGCCTCAGCTGCCAGGCCGTGCTTCGGCAGCACCGCCTCCTGCACGGATTTCACCTGGAGATCTCTCTGACAGGTCTCGCAAGCCGCTAGCTGCCGCTGAGCTCTGAGTCCCCCTGCCAAGGCCGCCAGACCTGCGAAAGGGGAGTGCAGCACCCAGTGCAACGGACGCAAGGACCCTGCCTTTTCTGTCTGTCTGCTGCCTAACCTCCTGCTGGTAATCCCGCCTCAAAGGGCAAGCCGGGGAACTCAAGTATTTACCCACTGCACCCGTGAGATGCGCGGCGCCGTCCCGGTAGCATCGAGTTGCCGGCGCAGTGAAAGCTGCCACGAGTGCAGCAAGCAAACCTGAAGTGCAAACAATCACGCGGACCACTGAAGGAAAACACAATCTTGCACAAGGTCTATCTGCAGCTAATTTGGCCCTTGAGTATCCAAAGACATACATTCCGCAAAGAAACCATTGCACCATCGGATCTCTCGCTTGACGAGGTCAGAGTGCCTGTCGGTCACAGAACGGCGCAATTCCGGGCGCACGCAGGCGTGGTGTCCCGAGCCCGGCACAGACCGTTCTTGAACTTTACGTGGCTCAGGCTAAAGCTGGCCAAGGTCTGGCACAAGGCAGACTTGAAAATATTGAACGCAGCCCAGCAGCTGCTTTTGGGGCGGCCTCTTTGATGCCCTTCTCCATCTCTTGCATCTTTTCTGTGGGTCGGCAGAAAGCCCTGCCCGAGCTGAACTGTGCAAGGTTGTGGGTTGCAACACATGGTTGTTGCTCTGAATTCGGGTTCCTTGACCCGCACATCTGGGCTTGCGAAAGGATCTCGAAATCTGCAAGAAAAGCCCTAGAGCTCCTGTCGGGAAGAGGCCCGGTCAGCGGACTGAACCTCACGGATATGCAAGCGCAGCGCGTGTTACACGATGTCCGGTGAGGATGCTGTCACCGCTGGCATGTGCGCATGCCATCTTGTTGTTGCGAAGTGCATGTTTTGTGTCAAGTCTTTCCCACGAGAGGAACCCAACTTCATGGCGAAATGCAGATTTCGGGTATCAGCTTCGGGGAGTTTAACTGCACGTTCCGGCCGGAGACGACGACAACGACGACGACAGCGACTATTGTACTATCATTACCACCACCATCACCCCCACCACCACCACCACCACGACGACGACGACGACTACTACGACGACGACTACTACTATTACTGCCGCTGCATTCATCATTACTTTCATGCGCGATGCCCTGCATCAACCACAGCAAAACACGAAAATCACACGCCGA